CAGAATTTGTCCACTAGAACAGAAAGATTTTCACCCCACTTGTTTACATTCAAATGGTTCATGTCGGCCATGTCAACTGACAGGGATATAACGTTACTAGCAAACTACTGCAGGAATGAAACAGTACCATGAAAGCCTTAGCCTGTGAGTTACATTATGTTTGTATTAAGTAACTTTGGATAAACCCCCATGTGATAAATAATAATATAAGAAATATCAAGTTTACACAAAATTTTAGATAATGTAGCTTAAGTCATTCCACTCTTTGATTTGTTTATTCAGGAGGGACAGAGAGCCCTGGATGTTTCACAGAGTAGTAGAAGGCAACAAGAGAAGTCAAAGAACTAGATCTGGATATGATGTGATCAGGTTGGGCCAGTTCTCACTCACCATAGCTATCAAGTGCTAAATTCATAAAAATGAGATGATAATAGGATAGAAAAGTACAAAATACTTTATATGCAAAATTACAATGAAGAAAATATTACTTTTAAATTATTAAGACAATCCTGTCAGTGGACTGCAGTGTGTTCATGTGCCGGTTATGTTGGGCTGCTCTGAGTCAAACTCCAGGGCTGTTTTTAAGCTCCAGTCTGGCCCTGGTGTATGGTGTAAGTGTATTTTTGCTGTCTGGGTCAGGGGTAGTGAAGATGAGTTGATGGTTAGTGTAGGCCGCATCAAAATATTCTGAGTCATCCCAGAAAGACTTCAGTCTTGATGATTCTTCTGAATGTATCAAATACAGTATGTTCAGTTATCAAGTTTTCAAAGGGAAATCACACATGTGGCTGTGTTTATGTAGTCAGATATACTGCTCACATGTCCACTGTACTTTAACATGTGTCACAGCACTACTAACTAGCACTTCACTTCCTCTTAGTGCTGCGGTACCAGTGAAAGAAGAACTATCAACTTCACTGTTTTTGCTACCTGGGGGCTGAATAAATATTAGTTCAGTGAAACTAGGAACACATTTTTGTAAAATATGCAAACTGATATCTTGCCTTGTATAATATATGCCTTTTTCACTAAGTGTGAAAAACAGATTTGACATAGCTTTGGTCTCTTTGGCTAGTGCATTTCTAAAGATCAGTTAGGAACTTGAAAATGTTACTTATTTTATTGCAACAAGACATATGTATTTTTGTATGTAATGTATGCAAGTATTTAGAACAAAAATGTCCCTTTGTATTAAAAAATCGATCTGATGCATTAATTTCTCAAAGATTCCTTTGAACTTTTATATACATACATTACATATAAATGTGATATAACTACCAGGCATAACAGTCACAAAACGTCATGGCACTGTTTGCACTTTGCTGGTTTTCTGCCTATACTGATCATAAAATGTTACCTGATCCTCAGCAAAGTCACATTACTTTTTTTCTCACAACTGTATCTGTATATTTTGGTAGATGTTGTGTATATGTAATGTGTGAATCTGAGTGTGTGTGTGTGTGAAACTGAGTGACAACCTCTCAGCGCGTCTTTAAGAGTCATCTCAAGCCGCAACTACATTGAGTGCAGTTCATTTCCTCTTACCTCTCACGAGCACTGCAGTTCCTCATTCTCCTCATGCCTCTATAGCAGGCAGCGGTACATAACCTTACCAAATATGACCTCAATGCATTATACAATACAACAGTTATACTACAGCTCTACGGCATATGGCTAAAATTATTTTCAAACTCACCAAACCATTCAGTGACTGCTCAGGCCCTAATTTGTCACCTATTTGTATAAGTTCAGTGCATTTCTGTGACTGTATTATGAGCAATGGTAAATGGACTGTATTTATATAGTACATATTTCACAGTGTGTTACACTGGCCGGGAGACAAACCACCAACTTGCTGGTCAGAAGATGACTGCCCTACCTCATAAGCCACAGCCACCCCAATGAAGAATATATGTTGAAAACTGTGAACTTATCCAAAGTTACAGTTTTGAGAGTGGGCAGTGCATGTAATTAGGCCACATTAATTAACAAATATTCAAGAGACAGCTCTGATCGGGCTATCTTAGATGCCTCACACACATAAGATGCACACACCCAACCAGAGACATGTTGTAACTTGGAAGAAGAGGCAGGTGACCCTGATGCCACATTGTTTTTCTACCTGTGAAGAACATTTATCATATCTCAGAATGCTTATGTTGAGACACACATATTCTCAGTTGAATCACTTGACAGTAGCAGTACTATATAGCTGCTAATGTCAACATTTGCACATCAGTTTCTATAAAACTGATGAAATTGTTAAACTGCAAAATGAGAATATGTTATGCATTTTTGTAGAGCTACTATATGGTTTATTTCATGTTAGACTATGCTGGATTTTTAACTGAACTGCCACATTCAAGGATTAAATTTGTCTAGTAAAAATGGCACAAACATTAACTTCAGAATCAGAATTGCCATAATTATTGGCCAGGTGTGTGAGGAACTTGACTCTGGTACATCAGCTCTCAATGTGCAAAACCGTAAACCAGCATAAGGCTGTGTAATATAACAAAATAAGCAGTATTAACAGCAACATTGACAGCAACAAACAGTGCAAACAATGCAGAATAAGCAGTATAAACAGACAGTAAACAATGCAAACAAAAGAAGGAATGTTCATTGAAATGCGATAAATAGGGTTAAAAACAGATTACTTAAAACTAGAGACCTGTACGAGGTTGTATAATCTGTACAATGTATACACACACACACACACACACACACACACACACACACACACACACACACACAGGTATTGCACTGAGGGTTATTGTTCAGTCATACTGTCGTTGGTTAAGTGTTCATCAGACAGCCCTGGGGGAAGAAACTGTCCCTGTGCCTGGTTGTCTTAGTGCACAGTGACCTGTAACACCGTCCAGAGGGAAGGAGTTCAGACAGGTTGTGTCTGGGGTGTGAGGGGTCAGCAGTGATCCTCTCCGCCCTCCTTTTGACCCGTGCGGTGTACAGGTCCTCCATGGATGGCAGGCTCACACCAATGACCTTTTCTGCAGTCCTGACTGTCCACTGAAGTCTATACTTGTCCTGTTTAGTTGCTGAGTCAAACCAGACAGTGATGGAGGTGCAGGGAACAAACTTGATGATTCCTTTGTAGAACTGTATCAGCAGCTCCTGGGGCAGGTCAAACTTCCTGAGCTGGCGCAGGAAGTACATCCTCTGCTGTGCCTTCTTGGTGATGGTCCTGATGTTGGACGTCCACTTCAGGTCCTGGGAGATAGTGGAGCCCAGGAACTTGTAGGACTTTACTGCTGATACAGTGCTGCCAAGTATGGTGAGGGGGGTGACCATTGTATCATCTGCAAACTTTAGGAGCTTGACAGAGGGGTCCTTCAAGATGCAGTCGTTGGTGTAGAGTGAAAACAGCAGAGGGGAGAGCACATATCCTTGGGGGGTGTCTGTGCTTATTGTCCGGGTGCTGGATGTGGTTTTCCCTAGCATCGCCTGCTGCTCCCTGTCTGTCAGAAAGATAGTAATGCACTGAGAGGTGGGGGCAGGCACAGTGAGCTGGGTCAGTTTGGAGTGGAGGATGTCCAGGATGATGGTGTTGCATGCCGAGCTGAAGTCCACAGAGAAGGCCCATGCATATGTCCCTGGGGAGTCGAGGTGTTGCAGGATGTAATGCAGTGCCATGTTCACTGCATTGTCCACTGACCTGAACTGCAGGGGGTCTAGCAGGAGGTGTACGGTGTCCTTCAGGTGGGCCAACATCGAATTTTTCAAAGGACTTCATAACTACAGATGTCAGGGTGACAAGTC